TCTCCACTTACAGAGATGTACCCTGGAGATCCCTGGGGTGCATGTCTGGAAGCAAGGAACCCCAGCTTTCTTTGCTTCCAAAGATGTGCCTCAGAGATACTCAGGGGGCACATCTCTGCAATCAGGGAACACACCACCTATTGTTCTGCAAGTTCAGTGGTTGGGACAATGAGTGCCGTCTATTTCACTGAGTGAAGCAGATCAGTTGCATCCCAGGACACCTCCCCGCCCAGCTGGTTCCCTTCATTTGGTAATGTCTGTTTCTAGCCTGGGTGTTCATTTGCACTTTCCACTGCAGGTGCAAATGAACTTCATCCATTCAGACTTGCATCCACTCAGTCTTGGAGATTTTAGGTTAGCAGTACTTCTATGCATACATGTACCATGTCTCTCCTTGTGGTTTAGGCTGAGGGCAAAAAGAGCATCATGTGTATTCCATGGCCTGGCCCCTCTCAGCTCTCTCTTGGCACAATAAAGACATTTCAGCTATCCCTCTAACTGCAGGCCTCTGACCCTTCCTTCTCTCCCTTCCACTAATGGCCTTTAGAACAGTCAAAAAAAGGTGAGGGCCCAAATCCAATTCCACCTTTAGCAGGGTAACTAGCATTTATTCAACCAAGTTAGCAATATAAGAGGCATTTTGGGCCACTTATGGGATTTGAGATCTTACCTCACTAAGGCATGAAGTGGTATATAAGTCATAAAAATGGGTGCCTTCATACCTTTTAATTCAGTTGCCCAGTGCTTAGGATACTTGTCCAAGCAATAGGAAACAGATTCTAGCTTTGCCAACACAGAAGGGGGTTGAACCTATGTGTTACACACAGATAAGTGCCCGAATAACCAAACAATGGCATAAGTATTACAGAACCATCCTCTGCCCTTCTTAAATGTGGTCTATTGGTCAGCCAAGTGAAAAAGATGTGGGGCTAGGAGTAAAGCAAGCTAGCAAGAGTTTTGTACAGTAAGAGTAACACTCTAGGACCATATGAGGTCTAGGTTTTGTTCCTTTCTTTAATGGGATGGAAGCTGTACCTTTGATGGCTATTATTTTATCCAACATGCAGACCTACCACTCATTGTTGGGGATAGGACTAGAACCTTTTGTCCTGTAGGGCAGTGTTTAGGCTCATTGAGCCACACTTCCTTTTGCCTGTAGGCTTCCTGATGCCACATATTTTCCCGTTTGCCATCCAGTGGACCAGCTTCAAGAGGAAGGCTCTTAGCAATGTCTAGCCTATGGCCTGGTGATAAAGGGCACATTACTGGGAAGTAAAACAAGTAGGCTCAAATCCCTTTTCACTGACAAAAGCCTAGATATACTGGTTTTCCCTCACTCCCTGGGCAAGTACCTTGCTCAGATAGCTGCTGCTTCTCCCTGGTGTGGCAAAGAGCAGGCACAGACTTCTGTGTTAATCCCATCAGAGTGAGACAGTATCTTTTGGCTGAAGACCCACTCTCCTGGCTGAGGGTAAATAAGCTGCTGCATGCAGTCTGTAGTATCATGATGAGGCGTGTTGTGTGGATGCAACCCTTCATTATTTACAGGAACTAATGTAAGGACTGTTTACAGTAAAGAGGTAGTCTTGCTGCTGCATTTGTACAGGACTGGGGCCTAGCCTTCTTGCTGTCCTACACCAGAAAGTTCCTGTTGCCTCACCCAGACTATCTTCAGGGATGCCATGATTCCTACATACCTTGGGTACATCTACATGAGATGCTTACTGTGCAGAAGACTAATTCTACTGCACATTAGCATGGCAGGCAAAGCCTATACTAATGCACTAATGCATAGTAGAATAAAGCTACTGTGTATTAACATCACCAAAAACCCATTCAACCATGCTAATGCATAATAGTGCTGATTACAGTGCATTAAATTAGTACCTGTCATTACCAGTACTAACTTAATGCACTGTAATTATGGCACATTAATAAATGTGTAGATCCACCCTCTGTGTCTTACAGTTGGCCATGACTAGCATTTTTTTTCTTCCACAAACAAGGTGTGTGTTTTACTTATGGCATGTGCGATGTGAGAAAATATAGCATTTTTTACAGGACTCAACCCACTTTCAAGCATACACATTGCCATGGTCCTGGACACCAGCTTAGCTGCCTCTACTATCCAATTTAACTCAGCTTCTGAGTCCCAGGGCTTTGAGGCTTGTCAAGTCACGGTCTGAAGACCTCCTCTATGCTTTTGGACTTGTCAACCTGGGACAAAAACTGGAGACACTTTCCAGACTTGAATTCCCTCCAACTCCCAGCATGGGATGATACTGGCATAATTAGGGCAGGGTGATCAGGGGATCTGCCCCAGTAACTGACTTGGGGACATGAATAAAACCCTCTGCTACTAGCAGCTGTACCATTGCACCAGCAACCAGAAGTCACTGCCCTTTTGCTACACTGCTGCTTGATGGCTCTTAAATGTGGAATGGGCCTGCTTTTTCTCAGACATTTTAAGTTACTGAATTTAAGTACATAAGTCACAATGAGTGGTCAAATCAGTGGCACTTAGCAGCTGCAAAAACTGGCTGGATGTCCAGAGTCATTAGGTGCCTTCGTTTTAGCCTGAAATGATGCCTAGGTGCCTAGACATAGCTACTGTACATGCTCAAAACTAATTCAGACCAGGTGCTAAGCCCCTAATTCCTGCCTAAGCTCTGCAGCAATCCAAGTAAGTGCTGGAAACTATCCAAGTCCCTAATTCCATAGGCAGACTACACTGAGCAGCTATTTGACATTGGGCACATCTATAAGTGCATTTTTCTATGCATTAAACGAATTTAATGTGCAGTAAAACTTCACCATCTACACGTGGTACATGTGTTTTAATGTAAAGCAGTGTTGGCTTGTACCAACAGATACAGGTACTAGCCAACAGCGCTTTATATTAATGTGCTTGAACAGATGCTGTGTAGATAGTGACCTGGGAGCAAATTGCTTCAGGTCAGCCCAGGCAGTAGGAGGGCCACAAATGCTGCTCATCTTACCCTGAGCTGGGGGGTGGGGGGAGAGGGGAGGAGCTGTCTCTGGTTCCAGGGCCAGTTTTGAGCGGCAAGGAGTTTGGGGCTGGGTGGGCAGGGCAGGGCAGTGACAGCCTGGTGTCAGGGAGCCATGCCCCAGACTCAGAAATTCAGTTGCAATAAATTGTGCCCAGGTGCACATCTACACGTCTGGGCTGGGAGTGAACAGAGCCTGACAGGAGCAGCTTACTCTAAGGCTCCTCCCACTCTGCTGACCGCCCTGCACCAGCCTAGGGGAGCTCCGTGTTCCCCCAGTTACCAGCCAAGGGCTGGCAAGGGGCATAATGGGTTAGCCCCAGCTTGGGTGGGGCTAGTGGGGTGGGAGAAGCTGTTCCTGGCTCTGGGAGCAGCTCTGAGTGGTGGGGAGCTTGGAACCAGGCAGGCAAGGCAGTGACAGCCCAGTGTCACAGGCTGGCAGCAGGAAGCTGTGCCTCTGAGGGGCTTGCCCTTGCATTGCCCCAGGTGTTGTGGTGGGAGTGGATTGCAGAGGGCCTGTACAAAGAGAGGGCAGTTTGCCTGGCTTTCTTTGCTTGAGCCCTGGGAGTTAAGTAGCTGCAGGAGCCAGGGGACTGCCTTCACCTCTGCCCAGATGTTTCCTCCTGCTCTGCATCCACAGGGGAAGAGGGGTCCCTGCTGGGGGGGGGGGTGCTGCTTGTTCCATGGCTGGAGGAGGAGGGAGGGGAGACAGGGAAGGCAAGAAAATCTCACATGAGGTACAACTAGTGAAGGTAATAGCAGCTGCTGACAGGCTGGGTTGGGGGATGCATCCCCATGCAAGAGCCCCCTTTAGGGGGGCTGTGCCCCTATGCAGTAGAGCTGCTGGGGAAAGACAGGCCAGGGGGTGCACCCTACTTTCCCCCACAACTAGAGGCACCCTGACCCACATACCCCTGCAGCAGGAAATACAAACTTTAATCCCCTCAAGTTGAGAAAGGTCTAGAATCAAGGTCTCCTACTTCCTGGGCAAACTGCTCTTAATGCTAAACCATTGAGCAAAGAGGTGGACAGTGGAAACTACCATCTCTTACCTTCTGGTCAAGACTGAAGGGAATACTCCTGCTCTTTATACTTTATTCAGTGTTGCTGACAGTTCTGCATTCTGGTTTAGGTAAATATCTTCCCTTTGAGCCATTTGGATTGCAATAGGACTGAAGCACTGAATCTGACACAAGCTCTAAGTCAGCTCTACAAAACTGTCTGTCTACATTCTTCAAATACAGGTAGATGGCTGGTACTTTTCAACAGAAATAGGTGCTTGGTGCAGCCAAGCAGAGTCAAAGCTAGTTTCTAATATTTCACCTTACAGTTTTTTCATCTGAGTGCAGTTTTCTGCTTCTCTCTCTGTGTTTTATTCATCCATCCTTCATAAATTATTTTTAGGAGCAGATACAAATAAGAAGAGTTGAAACATGTAAAATCTTGGGTATATGTTTGTACAAAGAAATGTGTGGTAGAAGGAAAATAGCAACATACCTACAAAACTGTAATTTTTTTTAATTGTTTTTATTTTCAAAACATAGCAGATAGGAATCACTTACAGTATTAAATCTGAATAAAAATTACATAGATACCACTTAAGCTCTTGATGTAACCAACTCCAATGTAGTCAGGTTTTGTTATATAAAGGAGAGTTACATTCAGAAAATTACTACTATAGTCTGTCTTTGGCAATAAATAAGCATTCCTTAGACAGGTATCCCAGTGAATTAAATTTTGGGTATTGCTCTGGCTTAAGACTACCAGATACCAGCTGTAATACCATTAGTTTAACATGATTACTACAAAATAACTTTTATTCGAGTATAAGAATTAGGCTAGTAGACATAGAATGTTGTTGTAGCCAGAATGGTCCAGGAACTATGAGAGGCAAGGACTTTTTTGGCAATATAGTTTATTGGACTAACTGTATAGTTGGAAGAAATGCAGTTAATCAAGGAACCAACACAATTATCTAGGACAGAATCTAGCCAGGATGCTCAAATTAATACTTCATTTACATTTGTTAAACATGCTGAGGGATCTATAAGGATTACAAATAGTGAAGACTCTGGATTTACCTAATCTGAAATACTAATTCCGTACGTTGCCCAGACAGTGAAAGAATTGGATGTACTAGTTCAGTTCTGATTGAGAGAGGAATCCTAGTCACAAGTCTTAAACTGCTGGGGGCAGCAAACAAGATGCTGAAAGTCATAGTCCAGAAGAGCACAATGGCTCGTGTCCACAAATATGTGCTGTTAGGGGGGTTAATATGCTTCATCTTGGAGAAGAACAGAAGGAGAAATAAACTTGGATTTTAAAAAAGCAAGTAACTGATTTAGCCTATTTAAAAGTTGCTGCTTCATGAGACACACTAATACCAAAAAATCCATCTTAAACTATCTTTAAAAAATCCATATTGTATAATATGAACATTGTACTGTATTTCTGCACCAATATACTAGCATAGAATTATACATTGGTTTAAACACTATAAAAATTCTAAAAATCTAGATTTTCCCCAGCATAGAAAAATTGCTCTGTACTAAAATATATTTTTTGAAAATAATTTTATACATGATAAAAAATCCTTTGCACTAACTAATCCAAGCAACCATTTAAGAGTGTAAACTTAATAATGCTGTGATTGCTGAAGGTGGGCATTTTAAATTGTTAGCATAAGACTTTGATAGAATTTATTGCTGACATCCTAAATATCTAGTAGCCTCCCTACCAGTTGGATGAGGTGGATTCGTGGTTGCGTCTTGCCAGAGGCACACTGCATAAAAATGAAGAGTTGTAAAAGGAATTGGTACTGGAATTTTAAAACACCATTGCAGCTTCTGAACTGGGGCCCCAGGGGCTGATTTAACTTATGCCAGCTTTCTCCTTTGGCTGCCTAGGGTTGTTCCATGGCCCACAACAGACACTATGGTACCATCACTCTTTGGCTTGCCTCAGTTTTGTTCCTGGCATACCCTTACACTGAAAATGTGAGGAAGGGCAGTGTAGGGTTGCTTATATTGGCCCTATGCTTTTCTTATGCCCAGAGTCACATTTTCTTGGTGGCTGCTTCAGCCCCTCTGTAGCTTGCTGGAGAGGTGCACAAGGGGTGCAGTGTTGACTAGACTGTGACTCTATGCCTTTTTTGAGCTCCACCTGTAACCGGTCCATAAGGTATTCTCCAAGGTTGCCTCTGCCATCTTGGGAACACTCAAGCCTGTAAGCATTGGTCAAGAGATCTCCCACCAACTTGATCTTCCGGATTTTGGGTTCAATAAATTGTTTCTTAATAGTGCTAGCACTATGAGGGTCTCCATTTGCAATGCTCAGAGCATAGAGCTCTTCAAGATAACTTGTCATGGTTTTCCACTGTACTAGTGCTATTTCCAGGGCCTTCACAACATTGGTTACATCTTCACAGTTTGGTTTCTATAAAAACAAAACATAATAAAAAAGGGAAAATTAGAAATATTAACAAATTCATTACTCAGCTTACAATAATTGCTACTTTCCTGTAACTTGTCTTGCCTTCCAAAGAAGAAATGCACCTGCAGGTTATTTTTTTTGCAACAGCTCGTTATTGTATTTACTAAATCTTTGCTTTGATTCTTCTGCTTTTAAATACATGTTTCCTACTATCTTCAATTTACACAGTAAGTTAGATTCAGTTGGCAGATAACTTAGGCATTTCTCTGTTTTGGAAGCGTGCACCCATCTAACCTATGGAAAAAACAATGTTTCAAAAAGTGGCTCTTTTTCAGGTCTCATGGCTTTTCCTGTGTTGTTCATTAAATAAATACATAAGGCTATTGTATGACCACCAGGCACAAAACATCCACAAAGGCTGATTCTAAGTTAGACTAGCAACTTAATTCAAGTTAAGTTTTGCTTTATGCACATGCAAGTGAAACGAAAGTCTCTAGGTCAAATTCTACCTTTGGTTATACTAATATAAAAAACTTGTGCAGCTGCTCTGGCTTCAGTCCTAATCTATTGATTGGACAATGAAAAACCAGGGTCAGGGTTGCACATCTCACAGAATCTCCCATCAACATCCTGGGTATGAAGGAAGTATGAAAGGAATTAAAAGTTATTGGAGAGAGAATGTGTCTGAATACACAGGTTTTGAACAAAAGCAATGCAAAGCAGAGGTTTAATATAGTTTGCTTATTGTGGAAGACCAAACATGCTGTCTGTGGCACACCTGGAGGTTTCTGGGACAATAATGGCCTCCTCGCTCTCGTTGGTATTTCAACATAGCTTCTGCTGCTTCTCTCTCTTCTTTAGCTTGGTGCCAAAAAAACTTGGCAAAGTTTGGTAAAGCCACATCAGACTGATCAAAAATCTCACCCTGTGGTTTTAAACAGAGACAGACATACAAATGATTGGTAAGAAGTATGAACACGAGGTACAATGAAATTAATATGTAGGAAAACACAGATCTATCATCTTTAAAGAACAAAGAGAATAATTTTCAATGAGGCTTGTACTGCCAGTTTCTCTTGGCCCATCGGAAAGTCTCCCCTGAATTACCATATTTATTCGAATCCAAGACAAGGTTTTTGTCCCCAGTTAGCATGGGAAAAAACGAAGCTTAGTCTTGAATTCAAGTACTGACCTGGGGCAGGTGGCAGCTCAGTTCTGGCTTTGGCCCCAGCCTTGAGGCTGAAGCTGGAACTGAGCCGCCGCCTGTCCCAGGCAGGGATGGCTTGTGTAGTGGGGCTCGCAGTTGGGGGAGCACAGAGATCTCTTAGTTTCTGCAATACGTTCTTATATCTCTTAGCTTCAAATGAGTTATTCAGGGAAAACAAAGTTGAACAGCTGTATCAGATATCAAGTGCACATCTCTGAGAACAGGTATTCAATACCAACCTCAGCAGCAGGAACAATTCCCAGTAGCTAAAAACATCACTCACTCCTGAGCCCCTAAACGGATTTTTTCCCCCTGATTTTCCTCCTCTCATTAGTTGCCTCTATGTCTTTATCCAACCTCTTACCTAGCCACATTTCAGCTGTTCAACTTCTCTCATCTCTCATTATGGTTTACCTTCTTTCTTCTTCCCTTCAGTTGAGGGACAGAGACAGAAGCCATTCCTCTGTTTCTGACCATACCGTTTCTCCCTCAAAAAATTGCTATCCCTGAAATTGCACTATCAAGACTAATCTTTTCCTTGTTGAAATAGTATATTCTTTTCCTTTTTAAATGTTTGTGCATTTTAACTGAAAGGGTCAATTCTGCAACTTTTGCATATTTAAAACTCCCACTGGCCTAATTAGAAGTGTTGGCTGGAGGAAGAATGTAGAAATGGTCCCTTTAAGAGATCGGTCTTAGCAGAAGGGTTAACTTTAAGATATGTAAATTACAAAATGTGAGACAGATGCAAAAAGGAAAAAAGTTATTGACTTAGATGACAAGTAAACGGAGACTTTGCATCACTTTATCAACTTCCTTACAGACAATGCTGACCAGTTATTTCCCAAAGGAAAATACCATTGCTATCCAATGAGAATATACATGAGACTTGCCCTTAAAAGAACTGCCTGAATCTGTTGCATTGAGAAATACAAAACCAGTACAGGGCTAATTCTGCTTCTCTGAATTAGTGACTATAGAAAAGAAGCCTAGTAACTTCAGACATTACAAGATTTAATATTATGCTACTGAAGTAACAATTTTATTCATATTGGGTTAAATTAACCTCTGGTGTCAAAAGTCAGCACCCCATCTCTCTGCACAACCTAAGCCGGGGGCGGGCAAAATATGGCCCATGGGCCAAATCCGGCTCACCAAGGCATTCTGCCTAGTCCACAGTGTCCTTGGCCCCACCCAGCCCAGGTGTGGGGAGCAGCCTAGGCCACCGCACATGTGCCTGGTCCTACCATCCCCAAGTGCACAGTGTGGCATCTGAACTCCATTTCCTAGCAGCCCCAGGGGTCGCTCCTTCTGGCTGCCGCTGCCAGACCCAGTCCCACTGCCCAGGCACCCCAGCTCATATGCCCTATACCCAGTCCTGGGGTGCCAGATGGAATGGGCAGGCAAGATCTTTCTGGAGACTGTCTGGGACCTGCACGGGCAGGGTGCACAGCTGGGCAGATGGGATGGGGCCATGGGCAGGCAGGGAGCTGTGTCCAGAAGTGGAATGGGTGGGCAGGCCCAGGGATCAGGACTGAGAGGCAGTGATGCTGCAGGACTGAGCACAGAGCAGCAATCCCTTCCCTGCAAGCCCTTGCCCACCGAACCGGTGCCCATCACAGGAGCATGCAGGCAGTGGATCACAGCTCTGCCCCAGCCCCTGGACCCCAGCTCCCAACCCCACATTGTCACTGCCCTGCAATCCTGATCCCCAGCCCTGCCTGCCTGTCCCACTCCTGGAAACTGCTACCCACCTGCCCACAGCCCCTTCCCATCCATGCTGGGATGGGGCCACAGGTGGGGAGTGGCATCTGGGAATGGGATGGGCAGGTGGGGCCATGGAACAGGACCACAAGGTAGTGATAGCATGGGGCAGGGCCTGAGGCAGAGCCACGATCTGCTACCTGCATGCCCTTGCAACGGGTGCCAGTTCCACAGGTAGGTGCAGGCAGGGGGTGGATTGTGGCTCTACCCCAAGCCCTGGCCCCATCCTGTCACCACCCAGTGATCCCAGGGTCTCCATACAGACCTGTTAGGACCCACACATGGGCCACTTAGGGAGTTTTGGTGAGCTGTTGGGGAGGGGGTGGGTACTGACCCATTCTGCAACAGCGCACTAACTCTTTTAGCAGCTCTCTGGCCAAATTAATTGCCCACCCCTTGATCTAATCCTTACAACAAGAACACACCAGGAGGGGTCTCATTCTATGGAAGTGGTCTCTGCCCTTGTACAGGCAGTTATCAAGGAATATGACAGGTAGCACTGGGCCAGAGATGAAGCCAAACGATCTCTATCTACAATAATCCTGCACTTCTATCACTGTGTGCAGGAGATTACAGAACAGCAGTTGCCACTAGTGCAGAAACATGCTTTGCAAACTTTGCAGTCCTGTGGTGAGAAGTGTATGGGTCTCTTGTCTCTCTCTCTGAACTTCTGCCTCTTCATGTTTCCCCAACCTCCCACTTAACAGCCTCCACAAAATTCAAGCAGTTAAAATTATACCCACGTAGCTCATCTACCGGTCTTTTGAGAAACTGTGTAACATACACAATATATAGCATGCTCTTCAGGACACCACCACCAAAAAGCACAATGAAAACAAATAATGCCCACCCCCACTCCTGCCAAGCTTGTGACATTACAGGACTATAAAGAATTTACAAGAACTCCAAGCATTATGAATATTATAATGAGGTATTTATAAATAAGAACATTTGGGGCTTATCGCTCTCACAGAAGTCAGTGACTGAAACTGTCATTGACATGAGTCAAGATTGGCCACTATCCTACAACTCTAGCTGCTCAAAGGGCATGAGCTGCATGACTTTAAATACAGAATGATCACAAAAGCAAAACAGTACTCCTACTGAATCAGCAGAACCCAGTTAAGCAGCAGAAATGAAATAGTTGAAATGTGTATGTGTGTGTGCGCTTATTAAATAGCCTACATGATTTATTTTAAATTCTATGACCTAATTTAGTCATCAGCATTTTAATATCTGGTTGCAACATGTTTTTGATGGAATTTTTCATCAGCCCTAGCCAGAAGAGCCAAAAGGAAGACATATTACAGATACTGATATAATTTCAGTGCATGTTTAATAAATAGGTGGATATTTCAAATCATATTTTTGATTTTTATTAGATTTGTGTTGCACAAAAGCTGATGAAAGAATTTTTCAAGTAACCCAAGAATCAGTCCCTCCAGTCTATTAACTGGTGTTTTGCCCAAGGACTACAGTGTTGAGTGGGGCAGGATGTTTGGTGCTGATTATCCTTGGTCCTTAAGGAAAGCGTGCACCTTGGAACAAAGATTCTTAAAAATTAGTTCTTAATATCTGTTACTTTAGCATAATCTGATACTTTAGCACTTTGGCCTATCTGAATTTTTGTTATTCAATTAAACTAATGCCTTTTCTCTTGAAATCTAGGCACTTGTGTGGACGTGGAAATAACTTTTAAGTCCAGGCAAGGTGACCCATAGGGCTTCACTTCAGACAGTGATGTGCAAAAGAAAGATTAATTGTTCTTTCATTCATTGCACACAACCATTTTGCTGATCAATAAAACAAAGAGACAAAACCCCTTTGTAAACATCCACACAGCACACCCCAAGTCTATTAGAACTCTTTATTCTTCCCCTCTCTTGCAAAGTCATTTTACACTTTGACTGAAATGAAATAATGCAGTGACAACTCACACCTGCACCGCAAGTAATGTGTTCCCTCCAATGACAGCAGTAATGGAGAAGGTCCATCCCTCCCCCCCCCCCCCCCCCCATTTCTTACATCTTTTAGTTCATAAAAGTTATAGCCCTCAGCAATCAGACTTAAAGCAACAGTCACACAAACAAACAAAAATAATAAACTAAACTTAACAGTTTTGAAGTTCTCTTTTGTGCCCTCTGATTGGCTAGCTGTACTGGGAATATTTCTGTTGCAACCACAGGGACAGCAAGAGCTGTGTTGGGCCTACTGTGATTATTCAAGGCAGCTGTTTAACATACAGTCTAGGATCTAAAAAATACCAGGCCTGATCCTTAGTTGGACTGAACTGGGACACATAGCCTGTTGGTGACTCTCCTAGAGAAGTTTCCCCAAGTCCCCCATTTTAAAACAAAACACCTCGTTGGAGCCAAAATGGTAAATTTATACACTAGTGTACTGCAAAGCCTGATCCCGAGTTCCTTACCTGGGCTTTATTAACAAAAAACAAAATGAAACCAAACAAAACACCCTTCTCCGCAGAAGGGAAGAAGGAGGTGGAGTTTAGACTGTAAATCAAATGTTGTTATAACTCAACCAGCTGGAAGTGCATTTGCAACTTGAAAGGCAGTAGTTTATATACCCTTGGCAAAAATCACAGAGGCTGCCAACTTCTGCTAGCTGCTAGTTTAAAAGCAGTACCCCCTTCCCCAGCACCTGCTGCCTGCCTGTCACAACAGGATCCAAAGGAACAGAGGGAGTGCAGGCACTGCCTCGTCCTCCCTGTCCCCGGCACCAGCCTGCACCAGTACCACACATCCAGTAGCAATGCCAGCTTGCGAGCGAGAGCTGCAAAACTAAGCCCTCCAGGAGGCTCGGACTGGCAGGGACGCCCGCAAACCAAGTCTGACATGCTTTGGCTGGAGATGGGGGATGAGGTAGACCCTCGGCTGGAGTTCAAGGAAGACATGGGTGCAGAATAATGTAGTCTGACCAGGGTTGGGATGGCATCACAGGGGAGAGAGACTGGGGTGTAAGGAGCAGGCGAAGTGTGGGGACAGGAGCCTGGGGGAAAGCATGGGGTAATGGAGACAGATGGGGGCTGGGGAAAGGATCTCAGGGGAGTGAGATGGGGTGTAAAGAGCAGGGGAAGCAGAAGGCTTGGGGAGGGGGCACAGGATGATGGATACTGATGGGGGTTGGGGACAGGATCTCAGTGGAGGGAGATCAGCTTGTAAAGAGCAGGGGAGCACAGGGTAATGGTGATGGGGGTTATGATGGGATCTCAGGAGAAGGAGACTGGGGTATAAAGAGCAGAGGAAGGACAGCGGGGGGGACAGGAGCTGGGGGGGCATAGGGCAATGGAGACTGATGGGGGTTGGGGAGAGGATCTCAGGGGAGTGAGATGGTGTGTAAAGAGCAGGGGAAGCAGAAGGCCTACGGGGTGGGGGTACACAGGATGATGGAGACCGGTGGGGGCTGGGGAGAGGATCTCAGAGGAGGAAGATCAGGATGTAAAGAGCAGGGGAGCACAGGGTAGTGGTGATGGGGGTTATGATGGGATCTCAGGGGAAGGAGCTGGGGAAGCAGAAAGCCTGGAGCCTGCAGGGAGGGACACAGGGCAAGGGAGACTGATAGGGGCTGGGGCAGGATCTCAGAGGAGGGAGATCAGGGTGTACAGAGCAGGGAAGCAGAAGGCCTGCAGCCCGTGGCGGGGGATGACAGACACAGGATCTCAGGGGAAGGAGCTGGGGGTGTAAGGAGCAGGGGAAGTGAGGGGACGGCAGCCTGAGGGAGGGCATGGGGCAATGGAGACTGATGGGGGCCGGGGGGAAGATCTCAGGGTGTAAGCAGCCGGGGAAGCAGACGGACCAGAGCCCGGGAGAGGGCACAGCGGCCCGGACACCGCCGGGGCTGGGACGCGATGGAGATGAGGAAGACGGGCCGAAGCCCGGGGAAGAGGCCCAGGTGCCGGGCCCTCGGGGCAGGCGCGGGGCGCGGGCAGGGGCTCGCCTTACCAGCGCCTGCAGGCGGTAGGCGAGCTCCAGCAGGGCGCTGGCCACGCCGCACAGGCCCTCCTCCACGGCGGGCGGGAAGCGCTGCTTGACGCGGCTGGCGG